TGATATAATTTTTAAACATTTCTTATACTTTTTCATAGTTTTTATCTTTTAATATATTATTTCAAGTTTGAAACTTAGAATTATGAATGGGCCAATAAAGATTATAGTCCACAGATGTTGGTAATAATAACAACGCTTAAATCAAAATCAAATTAATACTAATGCAAAAAGAAAATCAATTCAACACTAAGAATGACAATAATATTGAATATTTGTTCTTTAGTTTTACATTGGTTTAGACAATTAAAATACATACTCTAATTTTAATTTCCTTTAATATTTAGTCATGTAACTAATACTTATTAAACTTAATTTTAGCATGATTTAGTACTTTTAAATTATGATCATTTTCATTATGACTTGTTAATTTGCAATATTTGTTTTACTTGATTTCATTATTATTATTTTTGTTGGATATTTTAGTGTCATTAACCATATCATATTGTGTTATATTTTTAAGAAACATCTTAGATAATTGTATTTTGGTAGGACTAAAGAAATATTTGAAGTACAATTAAATTATATGTTTGTATGAATACTTTACCGGAAAAACCTGAAAAAACCCGAGGTTGAAAAACCCAAATTTTATTGGTTTGGTTTGGTTTATAAATTTAAAAATCCGACACAAATGGTTTGGTTTGATATTTAAAAAACCCGAACCAACCCGGCCATGTACACCCCTAATCCCTAGTATCAACAATACAAATACAAAGACCAACTAAAGTAATAGAAACAATAAGAGGAATTAAATCGAAGCATAAGATAGGACACTTGATGCATACGAGCCTCTATTTCATACACCTCAATCCAATACAATGTGTCACGTCTTCGTCAATCTTCTTATTTCCTTGGATTATAAATGGTTATAGACACATATATTTTGCGTGCAAGGGACATGCAATCAATTTGTCTTGTCTTGCAAGCTATTTCTTGTATGCGCAAGATCACTCTCTTTACAAACTTACTAATAGACAATTCAATATAAGGGGAAACGTTTTCTTCTCCAATCAACGAAGGACACTTTATCTTTTACATACGACAAGTAAGAACAAAAGAAAAAAGATCCACAAAAATAAAAATGGCAACCCGGTGGTGATGGTGGTGGGGTAACTTGAAGTATATATAATTAATTAAGAGATAATTTGAGGCAGATAAACATAATAACACAAACATAAGGGAGATTGGTGTGAAATTATCTAATTAATTAACACTACAATTACAAAAATAATATTTAGCGACAATATATATGCACATTAACAAAGAGTGTTAAAACCCAATTATTAGCATTAATATAATTGCCATCAGATCCAATGTCGCTATAGGCTTTAGAGACATTTACAAAGAGTCATAATTGCCTCTAAAAACATATATTTAATGACAATTAAGCTATTATCAATTGTCGTTAATTAATTACCGCTAAAGATTATTTATGGTATAGTGTAATATGATGCAATGAGATGGAGATTTGCTCACGCTTCTTTCCATAATCTTATAACTTAAATAGACCAGCTTAACCCTAATCTCTTTTATCTAAGAATTCTTGCAAATTATACAATGAAGTTTATGATAAAGTTGGGATTAGGTTTTTTTATTATAATATTATTGATGATGGTATTAGATGCAAAAGGATTATCTGATGTTCAAAGATGTGCAAACGCTTGTATTACCAAGTGTGGCATTACTAATCTTCAATGTTACAATGCTTGTCTACATCGTTGTGTTAAACCTTTTGTGGGGAGACAAGATCAAATCGAAATCAAAATTTGAAGTTTATGTCTACTTAATATTCAAATTTGTTTTATAAATTTGCCTCATTTTCTGAATAAAATGCATATTGAATGACATATATTAACTTTCTTCATTCAATATTTGCCTTTCTTGTAGTAATTCATTAATCTACTCTTCTTCAATAGTCTCAAGCATGGATATAATTGTCTTTTTTTGTTCTTATTATAAATTTTCTGGTTATAGCTTCAATTTTTGTTTGTTATGCCAATTGTGGTATTCATATAATTAGTTTGTGCGCATTTCGATTAGTTTTAGAGAATCTCACCAATATATAATTATTGGATAACTTTGTTCATCAAGACGATAACTAGTGGTCCAAATATATAAATTTATTACTATACAAGATTCATGGATGAAATTGACAAATAGTTATTTTTGGTCTGCTAATTCATCTTTAGCCAACATTTTAAAGTTTAGCCATTTTATGATCGGAATTTTGTTTTTAGGACATAACTAAATTCAGTTTTGAGACCTAATAGCATAAGAAAATAAAAAAATCGTGGAGTGCATAAAATCCTTTAGAAATAGTTGGGTAGCTTTCTAGTGATAGTAATTGAAAATGATCAGAAAGTAGGGGACTATTCCTAATATGGTCATTAGAAATATTGAAGATAACCAAAGTAAAAGAAACAACAATAAGATAGGACACTAAATGCATGCAAGCTCCCATTTCATCCACCTTAATCTAATACAATGTGCTACGTCTTCGTCGATTTCCTTATTTCCTTAGATTATAGACGGTAATAAACACATGTATTTTGCGTGCGAGGGGGCAATCAATCTATTTTATCTTGCAAGTCCATTTCTTATGCGCACGAGATCACTCTTTTTCTACTAGCTTTTTACAAATTTAATAATAGACAATTCTATGTATGAATGGAAATTTTTTTCTTCCCCAATCAGCGAGACACCTTGTCTATCACATATGACAAGAAAGAACAAAAGAAAAAAGATTCACAAAAATAAAAGGCATATGATACATAAACATAACCCTAAACTTAACTTTAACTAACAACTATGACCTTTAACTTTACCAGTACACAAGTAGACATTTGAACTATTTAAAACTTACACAAATAAACACTCCAATCCTAATTACAAAATGCGAGAAATACACCCAAATCACGTGTGTCAATAGTAAATGTAATATCACAAAAATTATAAAATCAAATCAGAAGGAAGATCTCTCAAATTATCCTATTAATTACTTAATGTGATGCAATGAAAATTATAAAATCAAATCACAAGGAAGATCTCTCAAATTATCCTATTACTTAATGTAATGCAATGAAAATTATAAAATCAAATCAGAAAGAAGATCTCTCAAATTATCCTATTACTTAATGTAATGCAATGAAAATTATAAAATAAAATCAGAAGAAAGATCTCTCAAATTATCCTATTACTTCATGTAAGGCAATGAAAATTATAAAATCAAATCAGAAGAAAGATCTCTCAAATTATCCTATTACCTAATGTGATGCAATGAGATGGAGATTTGCACACGCTTCTTTTCATAACCTTATAGTTTAAATAGATCAACTTAACCCTAATCTCGTTATCTAAGAATTCTTGCAAATTACTACTACTAAATAAAAATTGGGATCAACTTATATCATGAAGTTTATCATAAAGTTGGGATTATGTTTTGTTATTATATTATTGATGATGGTATTAGATGGCGCAAATGGATTTTCTGATGTTCAAAGATGTGCAAATGCTTGTATTACCAAGTGTGGCACTACTAATCTTCAATGTTACAATGATTGTCTACATCGTTGTGTTAAGCTTCTTCTATAGATCCATTTGTTCACTTTCTGTTTGCTCATTTCTCCCTTCTTTAGGTAAATAAAAAGCGGAGAACAGACTGAATAAATTAGATTCGAAATTTGAAGTTCATGTATTTACTATATTGACTTCAAGTTATTATTATAATATTTATTAAAATTATAACTATAATGTGCTTCAAAGTTGTGTAATTTGAATTTTCATTCATGTTTGTTGGGATTTTTTTTAAAGTTATATCGGTTGGCAAATTTATAGGTGGAGATTGATTTAATAAGAAAACTCACTTAATTATCATTAAATAATATATTGCATTATATTATATTTTTAAAGATTAATTTAAGATTTAAATAAATTGAATAATTTTTTTGTCATTTTTTAATATCATACACCAACAATATAAGGTCTAAGTTTATAATATTACATAAATGAAATAAAATACAAAAATAGATACATTGTAAAATTAACACCAATAATATATCTAATATAATCTCATAAGTGTGATCCGAAGAGGATCATAAGTGAGGTGTGACGTCTTTGGAGCAACGCACAATTGAGGTCCGAAGAAGATAATTAAAATGTAGATAATAGATTTTACTCTTACATAGGCAATAGATTTTATTCTTAAGTAACATGTGGTATACATCAAATTAATTACGTATCTAATACCTCCATGCATGAGGTAGTGGTAAGGTTTGCGTACAATCTACCCTCTCCAAATCTCATTTAGTGGATTTTACTGGATCTATTGTTGTTTGTTGTTGTATAATAGTTGTAGATATATGTCATATTCATCTACATGCATTATTATTGCCACCCGACAATCGTTCAACGAGCTACTTTTATAATGTCAGTCACATGAAGTTGCTCAACAAAAATCGATTAGATCTTCGACCTCAATAATTTCGGCTTCAATTAAGTGTTTAGAATGAGAAATCAAGTATGTGGTCAAGAACACTTTTCTTTTAATGAGTTATTTTTTTAATAAGATTATTATGGAAATTAATGAAGCGTGATAAAGTGTCCATATATCCAATGCTTATAACATGAGAACTAACGCAACTAACGTTTCCATAAATTTTGCCTAATTTTCTGAATACAATGCATATTGAATGACACATTCAATTTTGAAACCTAATTCAATTTTTGAATACATAGAATATTGCTTAAATTTGTTATTTTTGGTCCGCTAATTTAGACGTTTTATAATATTTTTTAGGCGCATTCAATTTTGAGACCTTTTTTTTTTGGTAATTAATGTGTATTATTATTTACCAAGTAGAATGTTTGTACAAAACTCTTGATTAGTTGGAGCAGCAAGCCTCACAACTGGATAACAACCTATCCTACAATTATAAAGGTTGACGAACCTATGGATAGAAATTCATAGTAACTAACTTCTTTGCTAGCTTGATCCTCATGGATCCTCAAACATGGATCTCCTGGATAATTTGTCGCACCTGTTTTCGACCTTCAAAAAACACCCTGGAGTTCCTCTCAAGCCAAATACCGTATATCTTTGCTTGTATGCTATGTCCAGTTGCATGTGTAATTGCCCACTTTTTCTCCTCCTGCCAAGTACAAAGACCTCTAGAAATACCCTGCCATTGTAGCAGCTTGCTCCAGATCCACCCTGAGTAAGTACATTCAAAGAACAAATGATTATGACTCTCATTAACCTGGTTACGTAGAGAACATGAAGCTGAATCCAGTGCACCCCATTGCATTAATCGATCTCTAGTAAGCAACTTCTCCAAGATAGCAATTTGTAATATGAATATCCACTTTGGACATCCCAAATTGTTACATATAAGTCTCCTCCAGTTCACTTTAGGCGTTACATTCCCCATGAGAACATAAACCTTAGAAAAGCTAGTTTGCCTCATTAATTCTGGTTCAGTCCTGCTAATAGCATCCAAATACTTCTTTGCATTTAGGATTTTTTTCACCATCCATGAAGCCTGCTCAGACTTAGCTTTCCATATGCATCCATATTTTATATAGTATGTATGTACCCATATGACCCATAGCTTGTCTTTCGTTGTACATACATTCCACAAGAGCTTGCAAAGTGCAGCCTTATTCCACATATGGAGATCCAGTAGATTCATCCCTCTGGCAACCTTAGGATGACACAACTTTTCCCATGCTACAAGTGCCTTCTTTGAATGACCTTTTTTGGTACTTCCTACATACAGATTCTATCATTTGAATGACCTTTTTTGGTATTAAGAAAATTTGTGACCAATATATCTGAATAGCAAACAATACACTCTTAATAAGTTGGATCCTGCCTGCGTAAGAGAGAAATTTTGTTGTCTATGAAGTAATTCTGCCTAGTATCTTTTCAAGCAGTGGTTGGCATTGGGTGACAGTAAGCTTCTTGGAACTCAAAGGTACCCCGAGGTATTTAAAGGGCATCTCACCTCTTACAAATCCCAGAGTATTGAGTATAGCCTCCTGGTCCCCGTGTGGTACCCTTCCAAAATAAATGGAACTTTTATCACGATTGGCCTGCAACCCTGAAGCTTGTGAGAACTCCAAGAAGCACTCATACATTAGTTTAACAGACCCTTCATCCTCCCTACTGAACAACAAGTCATCTGCAAAACTTAGTTGGATAATGTTGAGTTTTTCACATTTTGGGTGGAAATTGAAGTCTGAAATTCTCTTAAGCCTCTTCAAAATTCTCGTGAAATATTCCATTACTAGCACAAAGAGATACCGAGATAAATGATCACTTTGTCTTAGGCCCTTTTTTGCAGGGAAGGATAGAGTAGGATTACCATTCACCAGGATAGAATATGAAACTGTGGATACACATTGCATGATCCAATGCACAAATGTCTTGGGAAAATTTAAACCTTCGAGGACCTATTTTAAATATATCCACTCAACTGAGTCGTAGGCCTTTTTCATGTCAATCTTAAGCATACACCTAGGGGACATCCCTTTCCTTCCATAGTGTTTCACCAGTTCATGGCTTAGGATAATATTGTCCACTATACCTTTACTGGGTACAAAAGCTGACGGATTATTATCAATTAGCATATCCATCACACCTCTCAGTCTATTCGTAATGACTTTAGAAATAATCTTGTACAAAGTGGTGCAACAGGCTATAGGTCTGAATTCAGTTACTTTGGAAGGGTTCTGAATCTTTGGAATCAGAGTAATATTAGTACAATTTATAGGTTGATACATAATACCTGACTTGAAAAACTCCATCACAACATCCTGGATATCAGGCCCTACAACTTGCCAAGCCTTCTTAAAAAAATATGCATTCATGCCGTCACAACCCGGAGCCTTATTGTCCCATATAGCCCATAAAATATCATGTATTTCCTCCTTAGTGACAGGTTGGATGAGCCTCAACTGGTGTTCTCTATGCAGGATTGTTCCTTCTTTGATAGTGGTCGGGTTAATAGCAGAGATTTGCGTTGCAGCAGTGCCTAGCAAGCCTCTATAGAACAATGTAACCTCCTTCTCAATTTCCTCTTGTTTCTGTAACATTGTTCCTGATAGTGAGACCATCTTATTGATGCTATTTTGTGCCACTCTATTCTTTATGTTAACAAAGAAAAATGAGTTGTTTTCATCCCCTAATTTCAACAAATTTACCCTTGATTTTTGTTTAAGTATACTCTCTTCAACCAAGTTCCATTTTTCCAGCTCACCCCTTAGTGCCTTCTCGTGCGCAAAAGCTACATCCTGGTGATCAGTTCTCATACTTTCTTGCAGTTCTGCAATGCAAGTCCTAGCAGTTTTTATTTTCTCAGCAACATTTCGAAATTCCTTAGTATTCTTGAGTCTCATCCAGACGCCGTGCATACCTCTCTTCTGTGTATTACACCTCCATGCTTCCACCACAAGTGGTATAAATTCTTTATGCTCAGCAAGACAATTTAAGAATTTAAACGATTTGGTTGATCTACATCTTTGCTCCTGGAATACTACACTCAACGGTGAATGATCAGAAACACCTGGATCCATGACCATTCCTCAATTTGAGTTATGTGATGTATCTAATCTGAGTTAACTAGGGCTCTATCAATAGTGCTGAATACATGGGAATTGGTCCATGTAAAATTACGACCAACTTGCTTTAAATCTACCGTTCCAGTGTCATGTAGATATTCTTTAAAGTCACCCATTTCAACCTCCAATACAGGACTCCCAACAAGCCTGTCATTTATACTCGCAACAACATTATAATCCCCCATAGCTAGCCAAGGCCCTTGGTATGTGCTATGTATACTTCTTAGCTTATCCCATAAAGGTTTCCTTTCAGCTATAGTGTGCAATTCATATACAGCTGTAAAATCAAAATTGATATTCAACCTATTAATCTCAATACTCCCATGAATTAGTTGTGCAGTCATTTGATGGACTGCGAAACTGATTCTATTTGGATCCCAACAAATTAAAATTCTACCCTTATTTCTATAATTAGAGTTATCACACCATGTCCACCGATTAGCAATTTTCTTCATGATCGTTGGGTTCCTATTTACGTTAACTCTATGCTCGATTACAGCTACAAGAGCAATATCATTACTATTCAAAAAATTCTTTAACTCCTTCTGCTTATAGACACCATTTAGGCCTCTAACATTCCAAGAGGTAATCTTTATTGATTTGGCACCCTCCAGGCTCCATCACATCTCTCCGTTGCCCCTGTATATCATAGTAGCTTTGGTACATATCTCCCATCTCCGTTAGTGAGCTGAAAGTACCCTTAGTGATCTTGGTAGCTTTGTCCACATAGTGTGAGACTTTACTACCGGATTTATCTGTCACTAGTTGCCATGGCGTCGCTTCCTGATTAGTATTGTCCTGGTTGCTTGGCTTTTAGTAACCCCTGATCATTTTGCTCATTGAACTGCAGTTCCATACAAATTTGGTTGCTTGGCTTTCCCACCTGATTAATCAGGGCCATTACTAGTGTCAGGTACAATAGTTCTCTTCTTGTTGTGCCTCACTTGCTTCAGCTTTGGAGCTCTTTACAAATTAATAATAGACAATTCAATATAAGAAGATAATTCCTTAATCAACGAGGGACACTTTGTTTTTCACATATAGGACAAGAACAAAAGAAAAGAAAATCCACAAAAATAAAAATGGCAACCGGGTGGTGGGTGTGGGGTAACTTGAAGTGTACATAACTAATTAAGAGATAATTTCAGAGAGATAAACATAATATCACAAAGATAAGGGAGATTAGTGTGCAATACTGAAATTATCCAATTTATTAACACTACAATAATAAAATAATATTTAGCGACAATAAATATGCAGTAACAAAGAGTGTTAAAGCCTTTACCAACATTAGTTAACTGTCATTAGGTCCAATATCGTTATAGACTTTATGGACATTTACAGAGACTCCTAGCTAATTGCCTCTAAAAATAAAGTATTTAACAAAAATTAAGCTTTTATCCACTGTCGTTAATTAATTACCGCTAAAAAATATTCTTAGTGTAATGTAATATGATGCAGTGAGATGGAGATTTGCTCACGCTGCTTTCCATAATCTTATAGCTTAAATAGACCAGCTTAACCCTAATCTCTTTTTCTAAGAATTCTTGCAATTATTACTATTTACTACTACTAAACAAAAGTTGGGATCAACTTATATTATGAAGTTTATGATAAAGTTGGGATTAGATTTTGTTATTATAATATTATTGATGATGGTATTAGATGCAAAAGAATTATCTGATGTTCAAAGATGTGCAAACGCTTGTATTACCAAGTGTGGCATTACTAATCTTCAATGTTACAATGCTTGTCTACATCGTTGTGTTAAACCTTTTGTAGGGAGACAAGATCAAATCGAAATCAAAATTTGAAGTTTATGAATGATGAATATCTACTTAATGTTCGAATGATAGTCATTTCTTATTTTATAATGTATGATATTATATTATAAAATTAATATAATATTTAAATAAATTGTATTTCATTGATTCATAGTATCACATATTAATAATATGAAAAATAAACTTATACTATTATAGAGATAAAATAAAATACATGATAGAATTAACATCAATATAATAACATATTCGATAATCAATATAAAATCATAAATAAGGTGTGTAGTCCGAAGATAATGAGACCTACTCGATCCATAAGTAAGGTGTGAAGTCCCATAAATTAAGTCGAAAGAAGGATAAAATTTTCGCAATAGATTTTAACCCTTAAACATAATGTGACAACATTTTCTTTGATGATCGTGGTGTCGCGAGTCCGGACAAACTTTTGCAGCAACATGTATCATTAGGTAATAATCAGCTAGTATTTTTTGTCTTGACGGGGGAATTAAATTCCAGACCTCATAATTTTTAACCAATTCATTGAACACTAGGTCACGCCAAAAAATGTGACAACATCAAAGTAATTATTATATGAATGCATAATTAGTAAATTACAAGCTTCTACTCTACAGACTCTGTAAATTGTAAACTAGCAGAGGGTTTAAGCTGCACAGCCATGGAAGAAGAAGGACCCATACAAAACCTCTGGCAAGAAGTTCGAGATCTAACCCTAGGCACTTCAACCCAAATCAACCACCTCTCTACCCCACCCACCCCCCTCCAATTCCTCCGTGATTACGTTTCCCCCAACAAGCCTTGCCTCATTTCCAACGCCGTAAACCACTGGCCAGCCACCACTCTATGGCAATCAACTCATTATCTAACCAATACCCTTTCTTCTTCCACTGTTTCACTTCACCTCACTCCTACAGGCCGTGCTGATGCACTTTCCCCAAACCCCATTTCCCCTTCTTCACTCTGTTTCGCTTCTGCTGAAGTGAAGCATCTTCCTTTTCCTGATGCGTTGACCCGGGTATTGGAATCTGAGATGGGTTGTGTGGGTTATTTGCAGCAGCAGAATGATTGCTTTCGGAGTGAGTATGGGGCGTTGAGTAAAGATTGTGATTCTGATTTTGCTTGGGCTTCTGAGGCTTTTGGGTGTTTACCTGAAGCGGTGAATCTTTGGATTGGGAATGAGTTGTCTGAGACTTCGTTTCATAAGGATCATTATGAGAATATTTATGCTGTTGTCTCTGGGGAGAAGCATTTTTTGCTTCTTCCTCCTACTGATGTTCATAGGATGTATATTCGTGAGTATCCTGCTGCCGAGTACCACTATTCCCAGGTTCCATATTTTTTTCTTTAATGTACTTGTTATGCGCTTGAAGCTTGGTTCGGTTTTATATGTGAAATTCTAGGAAATGAATGCATTTGTAGAGCTGCTTTATGGTTTATATATGTTGATGTGTTCCTATCAAAGTAGCAATTTTGCCTTATGTCCTTGTAGTTTTAATGGATTTTTGTATGGATTCTTGAATTGTAGCACTTTGTGATGTGTTTGCGTTGATGGGTTGCTATGTTAATAGCAATTTGGTTTTAATTCGTTGCGGAGAACTCAAATCTCAGCTTTAGTTTACTGTCTTGTTCTTTAATGTATTCATATGTTATGCAGTTGAAATTTGTCGGGTTTTTATTGTGAATTCTTGCTCTAGGATTGAATGCCGCTTTATGATGTATTTGTGATGATGGATTGCAATGAAGATGTTATTAGCTAAGACTTTTCAAATATAGAAAGTTGTCATTCTTCTTTTTGGGATTGGACCAAAAGAAAAGAGTATCACATAAAAAGACACGGAGGATGTTTGGTACACATACATATAGCGGTTTTTGAGTTGTAGCCAGTAGCTCGGAAGAAATAGTTACTAAAAGCTAGTTGTTGTAGCAGTTTACCACTGCCCAGGTTCCATTTTTTCCTTTCATGTATTTTTTGGAAGTTCAACACGTTTGTAGTGCTTTGTGATGTATATGTTTAGCTGACTGGTCATGCCCCACTGAATTAGGAATTTGGTTATAATTCATTTCAGATAACTTGAATTTCAGTACAATGTATTGTTCAATTGTGCTGACATGTGTTGTTTATAGGATACTGGGAAGTTCTCTTTGGAACTGGAGGAACCAGTGAGGAATGTCCTGTGGTGCAGTGTTAATCCATACCCTTCACCTGAGTTGAAAGAGAAGGAAATGACCAAGTTTCCCTTATATTTCAATGGACCAAGACCATTTGAAGTTACAGTCAAGGCAGGCGAAATTCTTTACTTGTAAGCTTTCACGATTATCTTTACTTATCTCTTTGTTCATTTCGTCTTGAGTTTCCCCTTCTTAACACTAGGTCTAGTCATTGGTCTCTTGATTGCATTACATTGTTGATGATGCTGATGTTTCTCAAAGCAGCTTTGGGCATTTGCCTCTATTTTCATCCCCATCCCAGGGAAAAAAAAAAGAAGGTTCAATGAGACATATTATCTCCTTTTTATTAGGTGCTAGTTTGAGAGTTATTACACATCATCTTTGCAATGCAAGTAACAATTTACCGAAAAGTACTGTCATTTTCATTTTATTGTTTTCTTCATAAACTTTAGCGTCAACAACGGATCAATTCTCATTCAATAAGTTTATTATTTTTGAAATTGAAATTTCCAATTAGCCCCAAAGTTTTTGCTAAATAAATTGGGCTGGAATTTTAAAGTTCAAACAATTAATTGAACTTAGTGCCCGTTCGGATTAACTTTATTTAGGTGCTTTTAAGCCAAAATAACTTTTAAGCAGTTTTGAAGTGTTTGGGTACGGTTAAAAAGTGCTTATAAGTACTTATGTTTAAGTCAAAATAACAAAAATAAGCCAAAAGACAATCCAAACAGGCCCTTACTTTATTCTCACTGCAATTAGTAAACCCAATTAGCAAAATTAGATGAAGATAGTTAATGGCTAGCTGAAGCTTGTTTTGGCTAATGGATGGATATGTAGCAAGAATGAACTCAATATGATATGCATGTAGACTTCCTTCATTATTCTTTCTTGACAGCTCGAATGCCATGCCATTTTCCGCTAATCAAGCATCTAAAATTATTATCCTTACTTCATTAGTCAGCAAAAATTGCTCTCTTCATTGAGTAGTCGGGACTACCGTCATTGTTCCCAAGAACCTTTGCACAGTTTTGTCTTATATTTTTACTCTACTCATCTTCTTCCTCTTTATTTCGGCAGTTACAATTCCTTTCATCTATCATGTTTGTATAATTTGATATGGTGCAATAATTATAGTCTTCTCCTGGCATTAAACAGGATTTTTTTAAGCGAACCTATATTGCCGAATTACCAAAACAAACCTCAAATTTCAGCTTTAGATTCTTGTAATTTGGCAATTCAGTCCGGCTCTCAATTTGATTTTCAAACATTCAGTGATTTGGTACAGTTTTCAGTTTTTACAAAAGATTACTGAACAAACCAAAATCATGCCTAACACCTGCTTTGCTTATCAGATAGATTTTTGGGCATTTTTAGAACCTTTTTTTTTGCATTTCATGATGAGAGCGGTAGCCTTACTTAGTGGTGTTAAACTAACCATCTTACTCTTTTACACAAATTATCCAGGCCAAGCATGTGGTTTCACCATGTTAAACAGAGCCCAGACAGCAGAGGACTCACCATCGCTGTAAACTACTGTAATAATCTTCTCCTATTTAAGCAAAAGCTGAAAGGAAGAAAAGAGGACAGAAAAAGAAAGCCTTATCTCATTCTCTTTCTTTCCTTTACAAGGATACTGGAACTAAACTGCTGTTTATCTGACAGGGTATGACATGCGATTTGATATCAAATATGCTTACTTCAACTTCTTGCAATCGCTGCCGCATTCCATGCTGTGTGATCCTGCATCATCTGGAAAATTAGGCTTGGAGTCGCAACATAATTCATCTATATGTAACTCTGAAGATGAATCCAGCATGGGCGACGTCACTGCTTCTGCAAATGATAATTTAGTACATCATCCTGATACTGCAGAAAAATAAGTATCACTCACTGTTAGGAGCCCAATGGCGAAGAGAAGCAAAGGAAATTTTGAGTTCACTGAGATCCAATTCTTCAAGCATCGCTTGTTTCCCTATTATATCCTGGAGAAGTTGCAGACTGTTTTTGACCTGAGATGGGAAAGCTGAAAAGAAACTGTCCCGTCATGATTGTCCTACTGTCGTCAAGTCAACTCTGAATTAATCAGCAAGGTGAGCCCTCAATGTGCCATTTGATATCCAAGTGACACACTACCCGTGATGGGGGATTCAGGTGTCCTAATCTGCATATTAAGTTTATTTTGCATGTTATCGGCAAGGAAAGGTCTAATCTGATTCGTTTGAAGAAGCCATAGTTCTGAAAAGGCTTGCGCTTTGTAGGTTTCTTCTTTCAAGCCATGCCAATCATCACTTGTCATGGAAACGCGACATTAGGATGTCCCCAAATCTCCTCAAAAGATGCAAAGCCGGAGCTCATGGCTGTTGCCATAGATTAGAGCAGAGTGTACTATTTTGAGCTTACAACAGAAGTGCAAAAATCACATTCCAATATTTGACTATCTATTGTATGCATCTTTACTGATTTATCTGGGATGAAAGTGCCTTCTGGATTGTGTAACATTTGTTAAAAATGGATAAAGCCAATGCTGGAATACTTGTTATAAATTCATCATTTTGCAGTTTACACCTCACTCATATATGCGTTGTTAATTCAGAGGTCTCAAGTTTAAGCCATTAATCCTCAACCAAACATAGTATTCCAATGCCCTTGTTTCAATTTGTGACGTTCTTTTTTTTTGTTGGGTACCAAAAGAATGTTATAATTTCTTATTAAGATTTTCTTTTTATTAAAATAAGATAATTCATAACCACACAAGTATCTATAACTTATTTTAAATTACATATCTCAAAATTTCTTTTATTCTTAAATTTCACATCCAATCAAACACCGATAGGTTTATTATTTTATGTTGCAATTATTTTTAATCCCTCCTGCCAACATATTTCACATGTTACTATTGCCTAGATATTATTAAGTGGTTGTTTGGACATAAAAATTACAGTATATTGGAGTTGGTTTTGAATTTCTGAATGATTTGGAGTGAAAATAATTTCTTTATCTGAAATTTCGAAAAATTGTAGTAATAATTACTATAATTTTGTGTTCAAATAGTTTCCAATATAATATTTGAAAAAAACCGAAAAATATCTGTGGACAAACCGCCACTAAATTGTGAAGTATTTATAGTTGATTCCAACTGAATTTGGCGCCTAGTAATTTTCTTCACTATGAATTCTAGTAAACAATCCTTCTAAAAATCAATGGCGATCGCATCATCCTACCCAAAACCACCATTGTTGCATACCAACATCACTTCAAAAAACTCCAAGAAATGGATACCCATCACTACCCATTCCATTTCCAACACCCCCCTTCAATTCCAATTGCCTCTACATAAACCTCACTACAAAATACACCAACCCATTAAGCCAGAGATCAAGAAAACTACAAACCCAAGTTGCACAATCTCTGATGTTTTAAGGCTAATGGATAGTCTTGGCCTTAACATACCAGTTGACGTATACGTTTCCCTAATCAAAGAATGCACTGAATCTCGTGACCCTTTAAACGCGGTTGAAGTCTATGAGCATATTTGTAAAAGTGATGTTGTTCCTAGCTTGCCGTTACTGAATCGTTTGTTGCTGATGCTTGTGTTTTGTGGTTGTTTTGAACATGCCCGCCAACTGTTTGATAAAATGCGTGTGAGAAATTCTAAGTCTTGGGCTGCGATGATCGCGGGGTGTGTTGAAAATGGGGAGTATGAAGGAGCTTTGCGTTTGTTTATGGAGATGCAGAGTGAGGCGGGGAACTTGTGTAAGTGTGGTGATTTAATTGATGATGGGATATTGGTGTGTGTTCTTAAGGCTTGTGTGGAAATGATGAATTTGGAACTTGGGAAACAGATTCACGGATGGTTATTGAAGTTGGGTAATTGTGAAAGTATGGCTTTGAGTAGTTTTTTGATCAAATTTTATGGGGAATTTGGTTGTTTAGAAAGCGCGGATAATGTGTTTGATCATGTTCCACATTGTAATACAGTTGTTTGGACAGCTAGAATTGGCAATTTGTGTAAAGAGGAACAGTTTGAAGGCGCGATAAGGATTTTCAGGGAGATGGTAAGAGAAGGAGTGAAGAAAAATAGTTTTACATTTTCTAGTATTCTTAAAGCTTGTGGGAAGTTGAGGGATGCTGGATGTTGTGGTCAACAGGTTCATGCTACTTCCGTCAAGGTAGGACTTGATACGGATAGTTATGTGCGGTGTAGCTTGATCGACATGTATGGTAAATATGGGTTGCTAACGGACGCTCGGAGGGTTTTCAATGCACGAGAGGATAAGAGCAATATTGCCTGCTGGAATGCAATGTTGATGGGATGTATACAACATGGCTTTGGTGTTGAAGCCATGAAGGTTCTCTATGAGATGAAAGAAGCTGGTTTGCAGCCACATGAATCTTTGATTAATGAAGTGTTGTTGGTTTGTGGCAGTAGTAATATCGAGAAAATGAATGCTTGACTTAGGAATATATCTTAGTTTCCATGAAGATGATTTGCTTGATCACGGATTTTTTCATGGAAAACAATGCAGGCGCCAACACCAATGTATTGGCTAATCTCTCTAGTCTCCTTGATGAGTTTGTTGCATTTGAAGTATCAACAAGGGTATGTATATAATAATGCGATGAAGAGATGTTAAGCAATCTTGCACATGAAATATCTCTTAGTTTCCTATGAATCTATGAAGTTGATTTGCAAGATCAACGATCAACACACTGGCTGATATCTCTAGTTTCCTTGATGTCATTGACTTGATGAGTTAGTTGCATATCAAGGATCAACAAGGGTATGTATATAATAATGCTCTGTGGAGTTGTTAACAAGTTATAGCACTATACTGTACCACATTTGGCATGTGGCCGAGCTAACATATACTGGAAGTTTTTGTTAATACTCAGTCTATGTGGCACAGAAGTACAAGTATATTACAAATATCCAAATATTGGTTGTTGAAAATTTAAAATTAGTTCGATGATCTTCGATCCTGAAAAACATGCAGCTGTTATGATTTAGTATGACAATGGATCAGTGGGGGCACAAAAGTTATTGCTTGATGATTTGGTGGCTGACCATGTGGGGCATAGCGAGTCTACTTACTTTGGCATAAGTGCATATTGATGAGACATTGCCCTGGGTGAACTCGAGCATATGGACTACTGGACTTGGTAATGCAGGAGAACCCAAATAATGAGCAAGATCAGTTTTGTGGCAAATCCAAGACTAAGTAGATATACTTGTTCTTGCGGTGGCATTAATCAGCTGATGGTTATTGTGAGATTTCTGACTGCACAATCTCTCTCTCTCTCTCTATATATATATATGAGCATTATCATAGTTGTTCGTGTGCTCGAATCTAATTTAGTTCATTGCAAGCTAGGGATGCTGAATTATGAGAAGGAACTAAAGGTAACCTTAAGTAGTTGGATGCACACAGAGTCAGTGTTCTAATGTTGATATTATTTACAAAATGTGGTTGCAAAATGATACATTGTCTATACATATATGTATAATTTACATGTCAAATATTTTGCAGTCTTTGATAAGATATTAAGACATGTAGTCGTTGGTATGAGAGATAAGGGGTAATAATCCTAGGATTATTTTGTCTTGTGTTTGGTTAGAGGTATTAGTTAGTCCCGCCCATCATTTATACCATAGTGATGGGATATGTTATCCCATATATTTGGAGCGACAACTAATTCCATGGGATAATTTTGTTTTTCCTATCTTCAATACCAAACGACCCCATAGAGATTATTTGCTCTATAAGTCCATGGGATACCTATATCGTTCTTTGCTCTATTTGTTGTGCTTTCTGGTTTTGGCATTTGATCATTTGTTTACATTTCATCGCTTACCATATGGTAATGTTTCAATGGCAGAGAAATCAAACAAGAGTTGCTCTCTGTTTGACCTTCCTTTTTGGTTCCCACATCTTCTATTGTTCTTTTCGTATATCCATACCTCCTTCCCATATTGAAAGTTTTCTAGAGGAAAATGCAAATGTAATAGTTATCAATAAGTCTCTTGTCATTGTAAAGTTTCATAGTGATCTGGTAAGGACTCCTTCATAAAATGGTGTGTTGAAAGGAAAAACGATGGTTAACAAACTCAACGTCTTCATTTGTTGCTTGGTTTGCCTTTTCCACGAGTCTTAAAGGTACGAATATGCTATCATTTGTCGCGAATCATATTCATTTCATATTAGACACTTTACCATGAAAATATGTTGTTACTTTTGTGTAGTATAAGTTTCATTAGGCGATGGACCTATATTTGATCGAAATTATATTTGTTAGAGTGAGTCAAAGTTCCACATTGATTGGGGAAGAGACTAATGGTCTGCTTATATGGACTTGGACAATCCTCCCCTCATGAGCTAGTTTTTTGGGTTGAAGTATTCCCAGGTGCCATAATGCGTGAGGTGGGTGTTGAAGAATGAAAAAAAGTCTCACATTGATGAACAATCCTCCTCCCTTTGAAGCGGCTTAACTCAACCTCAAAAGTGAATTAAAAGGACGATCATTATCTGCTCCTTTTGAAGGAGCGTCGTCGTAAGCTGTTGAACTTTTACAATTTCTCTTAAAGAATGCATTGGTTTTGTTAACACTTCATCGCTTATGATAAACCATATGGTAATGTTTCAATGACAGAGAAATCAAACAAGAGTTGCTCTCTGTTTGGCCTTCCTTTTTTGTTCATGTTGTTGGTTTTTGTTCATGTTGTTGGTTTGTGGTAAGTTATACATGAATAACTTACCCTCTAACTAATTACAAAACGTGATATCACTTACGGAAAATTTAATATCTGCGTATTCACCTTCAAACCAACTATCAAACCAATCTCTTAATATTCAATTTAGAAATTTATTGCTATGTTGATGGGGAGTTGTTCTTCCTATAATCTACCACAAGATAATAGGGTAATCACAAAAATAATTGGTAGTACATTCAACCCCACCATTTGGATGAAATTTCCTCAAGTGGGCTGGCTTGATCAGAGGTTGATGTAATATTAAAAGTACGAGTTCACTTGAATTCAGTAATTTATTTTGACCGACAGTCCGTAAGGTCTCTCATGTGGGAGATCTAGAATGAATTCAGTCTCCATCCGCTACTCAATCATAAATTCGTCACATGAAGCTTCCTTATTACAATTTACATCTTCTGTGTGGTTTGCGAGCTATCGCAGTGAACAAGTTATCACAAAGTGCTTAGTCACAATCAATAATTCAGCATAAGAAAAATGTCTTGCATTATTTTTCTTGGCTAGTTCAAATGCCAGCCTCTAAAGTTGGTACGATTTCTGTAGATATTTGTCGTTCCCTTTGTCTCAATTTTTGTAGCACTTTAAATTTTAATTATAAATTTAATATAGAAGTTTGAAATTTTTGAAATAAAATTTGTATATTTGAAAACTATGTAATTTATCTTAAATAAATCACAATAATTAAATATTTAAAAATATATAATTTTTTTGATAAAATTAAATTTGATTAATTTTTAAAATTGCAATTATGTCACATAAATTGGATTGAAGGAGTAGTACTACTAATAGAAAGCTGGCCAATAAAAATTTTAGGTACGTTCTGTGTCTTTAATTTCCTCCACCACAAGAAAAACATTTGACACTACATTTTCACCTGTTGATATTTTGGTACAATCTTGTCCTCTTTAGGTGAAAAGATTGATTCAAAATTTAAAATTTTAGCACGATTAATTATTTAGAAATTTCTTAGAACTTGGAATTATTTGAGCTAATGCTACTAGATTTAAAAGGACTCACGTGTTACATACTATGTCTGCCTCTGCTTGTGAATAATAATCGAGTTGATTTATCAGATTCTCATTCAATTAACAGTTATTATTTTAAATAATTATATTTTTTTTAAATGAAATTGAAAAAAAAAAGATGATACTTTTAGATAATATCTATTAAACGAATAGTCATATGATAAATGACATGTCAATTATTGTAGTGAAAGATTTGTGAGGCTATAAATGAAAATATATATTTTTGAAACATAAGTGATTTTCTGGTGTTTAATTATTAAATACTTAGATAATTTTCAAAGAAGATATTTTTTTGCGAAAAAAGAAAACAATGTCTTCTCTTAATTATGATCGAACGTTTTCTTCGTAATTATTACGTATAGTTACTCTAATCAATGCTCAGATAATACTATCAATACTCTCTCCGTCCGTTTTACTTGTCAAATTTTGATTAAACACACCTCTTAAGAAAACATAGAGTCTTAAACATATTTACTCAGTACATTTTCAAAGAATTAATTCAATGTTAATAAATTAAGAATATAATATGAGGAAAAAAAAATTGTCCTTTGTTGATTTGTCAAAAAATGATAAGTAAAAAGAGAGATTAAATTAGAAAATATTTGACAAGTAAATAGAGATGGAGGAAGTATTTAGTATTCAAAAGTTCCATCAAAATTTTCTAATATTGTCGATATTAATCTTTAATAAATGAAGTATTAAAAAAAAAATCATGACAAATTACAAGAAAGACTTATATTTCAAACAAATACTAATGTTTTTTAGAAAATGACTTGAGGAATAATGTCCTCAGATTAACTTAACTGTAGATATTTTTGGAAAAGCATTTGCCATAGCCACAAAAGGATTTGAGAGTATCAAAAAAAAATCAGGAGGAAATATTGTTGAAACTGATTTTTGTTTTTTTTCTTGATGTGTTTGGTTGGAAAAGAAATATTTTTTTATAGAAAACATTATTGAGAATAGATCTTTTTTTTTACCGCAAATTAATGAAAAAATTATGTTATAAAACATGATTTCTTTCGTCTTGTTTAAATACTGGGAAAATTCTTAATTTGTTTGTGTGAAAATATTACTATTATTTTTTTCTCACCAATTCAATCAAAATTTGTGAAAATAGCCGCCATTGAATATTTTTCAATGAAAAATACTGATTTTTTAGTAGTGAATAATTGAGTTCCTTACTTATTTTCTTGTATTTGTTTCATAAAAAAAATAATATCATCTTAAAATATAAAATGGTGGGTGGAGGTGTGGGAGAAGATGAGATCTGTTTGAGGACCAAAGGATACAATCAATACATTATAACGTGACTTGTGAAACTTATTTTCCCACTTCTACTGAGAAAATCATTTTCCTAAAATGAACATATTTTCTAAGAAAATATTCACAATTTTTTTTATTAATCGAACACGAGAAAAATGAATAATATTCTCCTTACAAACATACTATCTATACAAATTCGACACAATTTTTTTTAAAAAGTCAATTTTTCGAAAACTTTTTTTTTTTGTTAAACTTTTGGGCTACTTTTTTTAACTTTCATAAAAAAAAGGTAAAGAATGTGATAAGATCACTCACTAATAATTAGAATAGAAGACAAATAATTTAATTGGATGATGTATGCAATTTCCCAATCAACAAATATTGACAAAAGAAAGAAAGGAAATAATATGAAAAAAGAGAAAATAGTGTCAAATAGGTGCAACTATCAATCGTTTGATTGATCCAGCGTTAACTTTTCCATGGTCAGATTAATTGTACATTTTTCTTGCAGCAGATTCATAAATCATATTAGTATAGTTGTTAATTACTCAACGT